AACAGGAATTGGATGAAGAGGTGCATCTAATACACAACCAAGAGCTTATCAATCTCGATGGATCCAATTGGCACTCAGTAAGATTGCCTACCTCTTCGAGGTGTCAATTCGGTTTCATCTACAAGAAACACACTGTTAACATCGAGTACAATAATTGTATGCTGGAAGGATTATTCCGCTCTACTCGTCTCGGATTCACTCACATCCTGATTCTAGAGAATTTCAATCCTCCGAAAGTCAATCTGCAATTCCACAAGGATTTCTGAAGTGAATCTCAGTGCCAACTAGGTGTGCTGGAAACTACACACTTAAGAAAAGATACTTCCCTTGTCCCAGATGTGGTTCATTCTTGTGTGGTGAGTGAAGCAGCTTCAATGATGGCAACATCGCTCACAGTGATTTCCTTACATTCACTAAGCCGAGGTAAACTACCGGAAATTTGAAATCTGGCTCACATCACACCAATTTTCAAAGGAGGTCGACGCAGCAATCCTTCAAGCTACCAACCGGTAGCACTTCTCTCCATACCTTCAAAAACTATGAAGTCACTGATATAAGACGGTATACACGATTATTTACTATCCTTGAACTTCTTTTCACCCCAACAGCACGGTTTCAGAAAACGTCACTCATGGACATCTAACGTGCCCATTGCGGTAGACAGATGGACAACCATCCATGATCGCAAGGGGAAGATTGACATCATGTACCTTGACTTCTCAAAACATTGTGATAGGTTCAACCATATATGCCTGCGAAGTAGCTCAAACGATCAGGCTTCAAATAAACTTTAATTGATTGGCTCACTCCATATATATAGCAAATCGACATTTTGAGGTCAGGATTAATTTTACTTCCTTTAGGGTTTCAGTATTAGAACCTCTTATTTTATTGATTTATATAAACGATCTTCCATAACAGGTATCGTCTGACCTATTACTTTTTGCCCAACTTCAATGTTGGACAGATGACAGCGGACCTACCTTTGACACTTCGAACTGTTAAGTAGTCTATCTGAGACGTGTTGCAGACTACAGCTATTTAAAAGTGTTGGTACCCTGCGATCTGGAATCTTACGCTATCTGTGACAAAATTGCCTTTCGAGCAAACCTTGCACTGGTAACATTGAAGCGCAATCGTGGCCAGTTCGATGGAAGAACTTTCCACATAATCTTCAACAGTTTCATTCATCCCTTTCAGAGTATGGAAACATAGTATTTCCTCCCTCACTTCAAAAGGATAAGGACACTCTGGGACGTATCCAACGGCGACCCACCAAATCAGTTCGGGCACTGAAATTCAACATTTATGAAGAGTGTCTCTAATCGATAAACCTTTACCCATCAGAGTACAGGCATCTCATAGGTAACCTAATGGCTTACAGTATCCTTAACACTTCTGAACATCGCATGAACACCTGCATACGTTTAACTCCAACACAAACCTAAGGGGTAACACCCAGAAAGTGGAGACACAACTTATATTGAACTAATCATTACATTGAGACAGTTTATTATCGACCTTTCTCTTGAAATGCTGTTATTTTTTTATTTTTTTAGGAATCATCCAATTATCATAGATGCACAACAATGTCCATAAACCTAGAAGGCGCTCGTTTCAAAAAGGGCAGTGAATTTTGCACTTGTTATGATTATCCTTGCTTTGTGTACTTGTTGCATCACAAAGCATTCTTGGTCTACTTTAACTAAGAGTGCTTTAGTGAAGGTTTGAAAGTTTTGCTAAACTTTGTACTGTGGTACCTTTTTTCACTCGCTGACTGACACTCGTGTTCACATTGTCGTCATATTGTGTTTTAAATCTTTTTTAATCAAATAACAATGTTTAGTAAGACTTATTGATGTGGAAAACCAAACTGTTTGTTCCCCGTTGAGGAAGGAATGCAGTGCGATGACTGTAAAAATTGGTACACGTCTAAGTTCCACCGCATACAAAAGATGGTCGAAGCCTAACTCGCATTAACTTTGTATTTTTTACTGTACAAATAAGACGTTACTAATACAGGAGGCTATGAGCCTATTGGCTTTTGCCTGCAAGAAAAACGACGTTGGTTGCGCTGATAACACGAGCACGGACAGTGACGAATGTGTCAGTGTAGTACGCTCTTCTACCGGACCCGTTAAACACCCGACTGTGATTGACGGGGAAGTGAAATCTCGGTTAACATTAACGAGAAGTGAAGTGCCGCTTGATGTTGACAAAGGTAATCATGCAACTCTAATGGAGATTGAAGAACTGGATAAAACTGTCACCGTTCCAAATAGTCCTGGTGCGGCTGTCTTGAGTGATGATAAATGAACTTCAGTACGGAGAAAAAGAAGTGAGGAGAAAAAAGCTTTAGGCAGAATGCAGCTGGTTAGGAAGTCATTGGAAGAGACAGTATCAGAAAGTAAAACTCCACTGCGTGTCAAGACAGACTTCTCTGAGAGGCCAGTCATTTTTCATAAGTTAAGGGAATCTTTAGATAAGGAACCAAAGGCTAGATTTGAATACGACCTCAGTCATCTTAAGTTCTTAGTAAACAAACTAACCCCAGATACAGTTTCAGGGGTTAGTATTTGTAAGCTTTACAGAATAGGACAAAAGGTGGATTCTGAAAGTCCTCAAGAAAACCGCCTCTTGAAGGTTACATTTGTCACGGTTGAAGAAAGGAAGCTGATTCTAGGTAACTCACATAAACTGATTGGATCCGGAATATGCATCCGTGAGGATCTCAGCCCAGCTGATCGTATTAAGAGACGAGCTGCTGAAGTGAAAGTAAATGAGCATCGCGGAAAGAAACCTCGTTCTTAAGGGTTTTCAAATTGTGAAAGCTCGGAGCAAAACGATCACCAAACCACTCTGGGTGGTAAGGAAAAGTTCTCCACAGACTTAAAGGTATGCTACGCAAATGCTCGCAGCCTACTAAATAAAATGGCGGAGCTCAAGTCAATGGTGGATGAAGGAAAACTGGGTGTTATTGCTGTCCCAGAAACTCGGTTAACGTCAGAAGTGTTAGATAATGAAATTCAGTTGACTGTGTTTCTAAGCAGTGGGGCTGATAGATTAAACGGTAGGGGAGGCGGAGTTATCATGTACACGAAAATTACTTTAACCATAAAAATAGCTGAGACAGTAGCACATGTTTCAGAGACATGTGAACTGGTACGATGTAAACTGAAATGTAAACGGCAAGCTGTGGCATATCGCAGTCCAGAATGTGCAGCAGATGACTTTCTCCTAAGTAAACTTAAGTCCTTGTGTAACAAGAATAAAAGCCTTGTAGTAGGTGACTTTAATGCACCGTATATAAACTGGGTTAACTTAGAAGTATGGTCATCGACAACGTCAGTCGATTGTAAACTGTTAGAAACCTCAATTGGACCAGCTTTATACAACACATTAGAAACCTCACAAGATATGACTTTGAGATTTAGTCTTCACACACAGTGACGTAGTTGGTCAAATGAATTAACTCTCACCACTAGATGAAGTGACCATGTAGTCATAATATTCAATTTCAAAGCTGAGATTGCCTGTCAAACAGTTGCGCCGGCCCGTCCTAATATATGGAAGCAGATATGGAGGCAATCAACTCCGCAGCACGGGCTAAAAACTGGGAAGTTAACACAAGGGCATCAGTACAAGAAGCATGAACTCATTTCAGGCAGTTATGCAATCGGGTAACACAACCACACACACCTTGAACAGTCCCAAAGAAGAAGAAGCAAGGCCATCCCCAGATACGCCGGGATATTCGACGTTTACCAAGACAAAAGAAGAAATGTTGGGATGTTGCAATCCACCTTGGCACAGCAGGTACGATGGAACGCTACAGATCGGTAAGAAACAAGTGCATAACAAAAATTCGGGAAGCTCAAAGAAAATATGAAGTGAAATTGGCACAATATACACTCAAGCAGCCCAAGAGAATATTCTCGTACATAAACTACAGAACAAGGATGCATCATTGGATTCCCAAACTAATTAAAGTAGGAAGTGAATCTAAAATGATGGAGGAAGACCATGAAAAAGCAGAGGCTATGGCTGACTATTTTGGGGCAGGCAGAATTAAATAATATGATTAACTGGTCTAAAGAGTGGCTGATGCCTATCAACGAGTCATAGTGTGTCTACATGCACTTTGGGGATTCAAAGGTTAATAGGTACAATATAGGGGAAGTGCCATTACCCATGGTCCGGTCTCATAAAGACCTAGGGGTGACAGTGAGTCATGATCATAAGACGACGGTCCATTGCCGAAAGGTCGCAGCTAAGGAGTTTCGAACCCTCTGGGCTTTAAAATGGACATTCGCTAAATTCGATACTACCATGTTCACCACAGTATACACATCCTTGGTGAGAACTAAGCTTGAGAACCCCGTTCATGCTGCAAGTCCCTGTTTAAAACGTGACTCGGGTATCGTAGAAAAAGTGCAGAGGGCAGCTATCCGTGCAAGTCAAGAACTCCGGGGTTTGCCATACATCTGGACCTCTTTACTCTGTCCTATCGCAGATTAAGGCGAGATCTAGTTCTGATGTAGAGAACACTGAGAAGCGACTTTGGGCCTAACTTATTCTCTCTTTTTCATCCCACTAGATCAAGACATCTCATGGGACCAAAGACGAACGAAATATCCGTGGCATACAGGTTTCTACACTATACTTGGAACCTGCCGCCCGAAGCAGTGGTGTCCGCACCTTCAACTGACTCTTTCAAGAGGAAGTTCGATACTCACAGAAGCACACTAGAAAATGAATAGCATAGGTCATAGGCATTCTGTTCTTACAACACTAATCTGAATCTAACTACTTATCAATTATCCACCGACTTCTATATTGAACCAACGTTTAAAACTCTTTTCCTCATCAAATAGTAGTAGCTCATACTTTTTAAAATTGAGCATTGGATAATGTAAGCTGTTGAACCCTCATAACTAAAAACAACAGACACTTTCAAGCTTTCCATTGTACTAAAACCGGCGATATTGAATGCCAAATTTATAATTGCGGGTATTACAATTTCAAGGTAAGTTGTTGAATTGTGACTGTAGGTCGTTATGAGAGCATGGTATAAAGGATGGTTAATATTAGAAAGTCAAAACACTTTGCGCTTGATAATCACTTTGAAACGGTACATCCTGTCTCTTGACTAGTTCACAATAGACAGTGACATCTTTTCTTGTTGAGACATTTTGCAAAATATTAATTTTGAAAATCAGCGACAAAGTCTCTGAAACGTTTGCGCGAAAACAAGTGTATAAATGTAATGATCTCAAAGACTGGGTATTTAACCGTTGAACAAGATTTATTCTGCCATTGTCGCTTAGATTTAAATGAAATAGCCCATCTGTATTCTAAAACTATACTTCGCTATTGTATAGATGATATTTCAACCTATAAAACCTGTATTTTAGTTGGTAGGTGGAGGTTTATCATGGTCATTGTGCGTATTACCTCCCTGCTCACACCAACATATTACATAGCGTTTACAAAAAAATGAAGTGTCTTTACTGCACATAAGTATTTCTTTGAATTAGTATTTTTCCACAACGTGAATACCGAGTAGCTGTTCCCAAATCATTTGTTTGCTTTCTGTTTTCCGCGCAGTTATCTTTTGACTGAAATCGGTTGTGCTTTCAGAGGGCTTTCTGTAGGAGTATAAGAACATAGTAAAATCCCGATTTGTTAATAAAATGAAAAACTTTTTGTAGGAGCTAAAATTACATGTTAAACATAATATTCAGTAACAACATTGGTAACCTGTTACGCTGGCCGCAAAACCAGATGTTTGCCTCATGCGTATTTCATGTAGTGGGCTTTTTACATTATGGAATAGATGAAAATCTCACACGAAGTGGGCTCTAATAATGTTCACAAAAGCAGTGGAGTCCTTTCGATTTAAACGTCTAGCTCAGAAAATACTCACTGAAAACTAGTTTCAACAGTTCTGTAATCTTTTTGCTCTGAATACCAGTAATCACAAAATGTAGTTATTAACTCAATATCCTCTATTTCTTATTTTTGTAACGTCTTTCATATTATACCGACATCTTCATGCATTTTTCATCTTTATAAGTAGGCCTTTCATTGTCCTACATATGAGTATCAAACAAGAAGTTTTTTAATTTATCAAAATTTTAATTCTTTTAGATTATGTCATAAAAGATGTCCCTAATACATCAAAAGTTAGCTGAGCGTTTGTTTATCTTGAATGATCGTCAGCTTGGTGTGCTGACTCGTATCCACTATATGAAACAAATGCTTAGTACACCTGAATACCGCCCAACTGTACTCCCTGGTGGTGACAAAGCATTCGATGGGGCTTGGAAAGTTTTGTTAAAGAAGTTCCCTTCAGTTGATGTCAGATCAAATCCATCCAGTATGCAGCCATTTTTTAATCATCAAAAGGAGTTGTTTGCAATGTTATCAACTTACTATTTTAACTTTGTTGACGTTCTTGATGTAAGAGATCATTTCATTGATCTAATAGGATGTTTGGCATCTTCAAAAATAACCCCTGACATCACTGTTAACTTTGACGTTACGCGGATTTATTTGGAACTCGTTAGTAATTATTTCGCAATGATGTTTCTCATAACACGTATCTCAGACACTAAAGCTATTTTGATTCTTTTCAATTTTTTGTACGATCAACTACATGGAAAACAAGAACCTAATTATCCACGTATGGCAGAAATATTTACCGAGACCTCTGAAGGTATGCTTAATCGTTTACACAAGGAGATAAATCCTTATTCTCGTACATTATCAAGGGCTCTTCGCTCTTTAAATGATTTTTACAATCGACGAACTGTAAGAGCTCAAAATTGGAGTGATGGACATTTTTTAGATATTTTACATGAGCCAAGCAAAGTAACACACACTGTCCTAGGAGAACAATTAGGTTGTGAATTAATACCTTATGAGGTGATGGAAAGATGGGTAGTTTTTGGTTATTTATTGATATACCCTGAATTGACTGATGAAGACTCGTTCAATCGACTGAAAGTAGCCCTGCGTCATTCATATGTTGTTGTGCTCTTCCGAGAAGAAGTAATTTATATTCATTCTCTTCTACAATCGTTTCTCGAGTCTTCGTGGGTTAATAAGGTAGGTGCTAAACGTATAAATGAAATTAAAGAGACATTTTCAATTGCATGCTCACAAACTCCCAAAATGCATGCTGACAGGCGAGCTTATTTACGCCTATCTTTGCGTCAACTTCATCTTATTTTGTCTGATGAACCTGGATTATTGGGTCCCAAGGCATTTTTGGTATTCTGGGGCCTATCATATGCCTCAGATGAAGTTCACTGGCTTTTAAGACATTCTGCCAACCCTATAGTAAAGAAAAGTGCTACTATGGCTTCACGTACAGGTCCATTTTCAAGTGACGAACTTAGTGATCCATTCTTACCGGAATTGCTTTTTAGAATGGATGAGCTTCGTTCCCTAGTTTTGCGTTACAGTCCTGTTATACAACGTTTCTATCTCCAGTTATTGGGTTGTTATGATGGACCTGGTTTAAGTGAATATGTGCAAGATATTTTGCCACATGTGAATAATGAAGAATCTGTTATCTTCAATTCTATCGCAAAACAATTATGTGAGCTTGCTGATAATCCTGTTGTACGTGAAACAAATTTAAGTCCTATGCAATCAACATTGTTTGACTTTTCTGGGATTCGACTCGATTGGTTGCGTTTACAAGCCTGTTTGTCATGTGAAGCTTCTGCTGCTAGTTTGAGTGATTACCGGCGACTTGTTGAGCATATAAATTCTACAATACTACATACTAAGTTGGTTGATTATTTGGATGAACTACTTCGATTAGTTTCGGACATGTCCATTTTTATATTTTATCCTTCTAAATTCACTGAACTATTTTCCAACTGCCGTATATGCCCTGCACAGTTAAGATTTACGATTGTGTTCCCAAGCATTTGTTCTCAGGCTATACAAGCATGTCATGATCTGTGCCCAGAAGAACGTTCACATATTGGTCGTAACGCAGCTAATTTATGTCGTCACTTTTGTCAAGAAATCGCGGATAATATATGTCTTTATTTATTCAATCGTATTGATGAATTTGGAAATATGGCTGATCAGTTAGCACCACAAAATTCTGTACCATGGCTTACGGATGAGAAACCAGCAAAAAAAGGCAAGAAACCAATCATTAATACTCGACAGAATTTAAATGGGATTATGAACACAGGCGGAATAGATTCAAGAAAAGGTAAACGGCTAAATGGACCTATCAACATTTCTACTAATAACAAATTTACTCTATCAAATAATATGTCTTTTGATTCACGTTTCATTCCGGGTGTGGAAAGCTTTAGAACTAATCGAGAAGAACAAACTATAAATGATAAAACGTTATTTGGACTAAGTCAATTATGTTATTCTGTTAACCATCATCGGGAATTATTGGTTTTTGATCAAGTTATCAATCCACGTGAAATACTTCAGAATGAAATACAATTCAGAATTATTGATTTGCTTGCTAGTTATTCGAGTTTTGCGTAAGTTTTCTTTGTTACATTGGTTCTTGCAATAAATATATATTTATGTATGAGCTTGTAGGTACTTGTAGTGTTTTTTCTCATATTTAAATTTCAAGCTTTTATCATGCTCAGTCGCATTCAGCAAGCTAACATTGTTGAGCATCCACCATATTTTTTCTCGTATATGTCACAGACATGAAAAGTCTAAGTTTTATCAACTTCTGTTCATCAGAATGAGTTGATTTAAATATACCAAGACACCAATTATAAGTCACATTGTGACTTTAGATCAGACAGTCAACTTGAAAACTTTTATTTTGAGCCATCATGGTATTTTATTTATTTAGTTATCTATACTGCTAAAATTTTACTATCCAATTATTTAATTTTCAAGGACAAGATTAATCAACATACTTAGGCGATAAAAATCACCGAACCAGTCAAAGGGCATGTGTGCTGCTAAAGAGACCTTTATTATTTAATAAAAATAAAGAAAATTCACGACACGCCATGGGTTATTTTAACTCACTACATTACTTTATGACTAAAACATGATCTCTTAAAGTAGATGACACACAAAGACTATAGGTCCTTTATCGTAGATGTTTTCAAAGCATTGCTCGCGGAACGATCGAGTGAGTAATGTTGAGATTAAACGCAGTGTACTAGGTAATGGTAGCAGACAGGTCGATGGAGTGGTGAGTTTTTGAGGTAGTCGTGATATTTGTTACGTATACCTAACCACCGCATACCTCACTCAGCTATTTTTTACTGGAGCAGACGTAAGTTGGAAGAAAGCTAGAAGTGACCGAACTATAGCATAGCATCAATCCATGAAGCCACAGGCTGATGGTCTGAGCCATGTAGATAGTTGCAGACTATTTGATTGCAGTCCTTGTAATTATCGCAACTAGAGACTATGAGTAACATGGCGTGTAATCGTTCCCAATAACACAGGTGCATTCACTTTTTTTCTTCCTTTAAATTCTGATTCTATAAATTTCTTATAAATCTTTGTTTACTTCACCAATCTATATTTTCTTCCCGAAATGTATCCTCGAGACTCAATATTTTCTATTACCGTTAATACTGTTACTCCCACTACTACTTAGGGATTTCCCTCCACAATTTTGTCTCGCTGTACTGATGGACATGGCGAATTGAAAACATATACACATCTACCAGGCTCTACGTTGCGTTTGACTGACTAATTGAGCAGTGGGGTTTGGTAGCGTTGGACAATCTCACTATTGCTTTTCAACTTTGCCTTCACTGACATTTTGAGAACATCTCTGATGGGAGAAGGTAGTTACTGTATAGACTCGTCATCCGGAAAGACTTTTTGATCCTGGGTAAGCAAATATTGTCTTACTGTACGATGACACTCAAGTTATGCAAATCGCATTTAATGAGTTGGTAGTCAATATCTGAAGACATTGTATATACTTCGCATATTCCAAATGCAAAGTGCTTCGATGAGACTAACAATGGCGTATGTTTACACCCACTGTTCACGGTAAGCCGTCAGAAATAGTCGAAAAGTTTGTGTTTTAGTGGCTGTATGTGTGGTGGTCGTAGCGTAAAAGACGAGGTCAGTCTATATACAGTGAAAACCAGAGCGGTTCATGTCAATCTGAGTGATTTTTGGCACCATTGTGACATTATGCCAGTCTGGGTGTAAAAGGTCGAGTTTACAACGCGTTGGTGAGAGTAGTTTTGTTTTGCGCTTATGAAACCTGGTTTCTCTGTGCTGAAGATTTTCGGTGACTTTCTGTGTTCGGTCATCGTTGTCTCCGAAGGATTGTTGACATTCAGTAGCAACACTATGTTAGTGATGTTGAGGTCTGAATGTGTATGCCTAGGCACGTAACGATAACTGAATTTTTATGACCATCTTGAAGTATAGTGTTCGGTGGCTTGAACATATGTTACGTATATTGTCCTGGTGGCGTTCACACCATCCATTGTTTGCCAACGCTCGGATAGAGTAGAATAAGCTGATAGGTAGTCAGTTGGTGATGGCAGCGGGGTATGAAAACTTTATAGGACTAGCACTTGTCATTCCATCACAATTCCCTGGTCGGTGTCCGATATGGTGCAACTCAATAACTTGGGAACTTGTCAGATATGGCTCACAATAGAAACTAGTGGTGTGATTTTTTTTATATTCTTCACAAAAGTTGTAGGAATTCCTTGGACTGAAAGAATCCCTTATTTGTATTTTTTTCAAAATTGAACTGTCTCTACCATTGCATACTATTGTCATTCACTAGTTTTATTCATTTATTTGTTTTCCTGATACCCTCTCTGTCTCTCTATTTCCCCATATTTTTATTTTATCTGTATTGACCTTATTTATTTTGGTCCCTAGATGTACTAATCTTGATAAGTTTTAAGTAAACTAATATCACTTGTTACATAAAGAATTTGAATCTCATGTACACTTGCGACATGAGAATAAGGTGTAGGATTTCCATGGTAGAGGTTTTAAACACATATCTCTATAAAGTCATTTGGAGAGAGAAAGTGAACTGATTTTACCTCCAGCTTTATCACGGCTTTTTCGGAGTTCAGACTATTGTTCAATACACTTCTGTTTTAATAATTAGACAAATCTTTCCCATGCATTATAAATATAACAAGTTAACAAACATATATTTCAAACCATTAAGAGAGCAAGACAATCCTTGAAAAGTTAAACCATCATAGAGTTATCCTTAAAAGCATATATTTATTATATACATTTCTTCCGTTGAATGAATACGTGCTCTCAGTTTTTCATATACATCAATACAATTAGAAATACGCTATAATAATTCATCACAAATCAATGTTTATAAATACAAGTCACATAACAACTACGAGTTATAAATTTAATCAACAACAACAACAAAAAATAATCACTAACTATGTTTAGGTGATAAATATTGATTATGAGAATGTAGATAAAATTTTGACGTCAATCATAAACTTAATAAATCACTTCACTTCCTAATTGATCCGTTATGCAATGTCATTTCAATTAAGAAACAGATTGAAAGTTTAATTATTTTTTTTTTGAATTTTCATCATAGCTCTCATGACAATACATCGGAATCACTTGCTTCGAAACCATCGGAATTACTTCGACGTGTACGAGCTTTAATGAATGCTCTTATAGATTTGGAAAATCATGTTTGTATTGATGTGATTGGATTATTTTCTACTGTATTCACTCAACATACTCAACCAGTGGATGCATTTCGTGTAAGTATTCATTTAGCATTCTTCAAATCTATTAATGACATGTTTACAATATTCACAAAGGATATTATTTGTTCTGTTCATTGTTATTATTCTCATTCATTTTCTTTAAATGCGAATGTCCGGCGCTTTAACCGGATTCCAAATCTGTGATGCACATGGGCACCAGTATCCTGCGGGAACAAATGGCGTATGAACCAATTTTCGGTCACCGGCTACCATGGGACTGCACCTCCTTACGATGCTCCACTGCCTTGTGGGTTAGACCTTTAGGTCAAAGGCTCGGGGTGTGGTCCCCCAAGATAACCACCTGCTTCGGTCTGGGCACCCGGGCAGTATCGCAGCCCACACGCAATTAATGAACTGAAATTGTGTGGCGCATATATATTTGGCGCACTCCTGTACCAATATATATATATATATATGTTCAAATAAAATAAAATAAATGGATAATATTTTATCTGTTACACAATAAGTAAATAGTATAGTAGGATATTCGATGAAATATTGTACACAAAACAGCATGTCGCCTCATATCATACATAAAATAAGGATCATACAAATAGGTTAATATTAGTAGTGGTAAGGGTCTATGTTTTCCCGTTGTTACTGGTATATTTTCACCTTAACTAGATGTTTCGGTTTCTTCACAAGTTACAAAGTTCACTGGCAGTAACAATTCGAATATACTGAAAAGCTTTCCCCTCTTGTTGTGGGACTCCTCAGCAGTGAGTATCCACGTCTTTACTATCAGTGACCGAACCCAGGAACTTCGGTTTTGGATTCTAACGCTTAACCTCTAGACCACTCAGTCGCCATTCAAAGTTCGGCGCTCACGCATGAGGCCGAGGGTCCTGGGCTCAATCCCGAGCGGGTCTGTGGGTCACCATACTAGGACAACAGCTCTCCAACGATTCCTGGTTTTTAATAGTCCCTTAGATAATGTCAGTTCGTGACTTAAGCTGAAAATTCCACCACATTCATAAACCCCCAATATATTAATCCAAAAACATATTAAATAAGAATTCTTAAAGTATACAATTTAAATAAAGACAAAATCAAAACCCACTTGTGCAGCTTGCTGTTTACGAAGAATCCAATATGAAACTACAACAGGACTGTTATGAATTTTTTTTGAAAACATATCTAGCTACTTGTTCGCATGATGTCTAAGACTTAGTCCAATATGTCATGATGAACTACTTTTTATAAAATAACCAGTCTGTCTTTTTTTCCAGTAACTCCTATTCCTCACTAATTTTCCTTAGTATAAAACAAAATGTTTAGAACGTTTCCGCGCTCAAAGGGTGACGTTTGAAGGTAATGTCTCAAAGTTATCAGTGATCCCTATACTTTGCCGAACTTCAGCATTACAATGTGATCACTGAATACACATCTTCGAGAGTATGTACAGAAACTTATTTTCACTAGTCTCGCATAAATACTTTAAAATTCGATAATTCAAGGTACATACTATGCTTGTAGATATTGATTTAAATGCCTATGTCAGCACTTATTAAGACAGTATCGTTCTCATGCTTAAGATTATGAAGTATTTCTTCAGAGTTACTTCCATAATATCATTGATGATGAGTTTGAAATGGGAGTGCAACTATAAGGTGATGGTTGGAGGTGGTCTACGGGAATCCCTGCACCGCCATAATTATCAAAGGCCAACAATCGTAGTGTTTCTTGACATCAGGGCTGCCTTCGATTCGTTGGACAGAACTGTTCTCTGGGATTGTCTATTGAAGAAGGGTGTGCCTGAGAAGTTTATTAACATCCTAAAAGCCCTATATAAAAACACCTCAGGCAGAGTGAGGGCATACAACCACCTCTCTCCATTGTTCCATTCGAGCAGTGGGGTTAGGTAGTGTTGCCCAATCTCACCATTCCTCTTCAACTTTGCCATTGATGACACTCTGGAAACAGCTCTGATGGATGTAAGTAATGGTGGTGTGGATCTTTTGCCTGGAGAAAGACTTCTCGACCTTGAGTATGCGGACGATATTGTCTTACTGTGCGATAATGCCCAAGGCATGCAATCCGCACTTAATCAGTTGGCAATCAGTGTCCGTAGGTATGGGATGTGCTTTGCACCTTCGAAGTGCAAAGCACTTCTACAAGACTGGCAGGATTCCAATCCTGTACTCACCCTGGATGGTGAGCAGATAGAAGTAGTCGAGAAGTTCGTGTATCTGGGTAGCTGCATAAGTGCTGGTGGGGGTGTGAGTGATGAGATCAATGCACGTATAGTGAAAGCCAGAGCGGTTTATGCCAATCTGAGCCACCTTTGGCGCCGTCGTGATGTTAGTCTGGCTGTAAAAGGTCGGATCTACAACGCGTCGGTGAGAGCAGTTCTGCTCTATGCTTGTGAAACCTGGCCTCTCCGAGTTGAGGACGTTAGACGACTCTCTGTGTTCGATCATCGCTGTCTCCGAAGGATTGCTGACATTCAGTGGCAACACCATGTCAGTAATGCAGAGGTTCGGCATCGTGTGTTCGGGCACAGAGATGATAATTCAATTGGTGTCACCATCTTGAAACACCGACTTCGGTGGCTTGGACATGTTCTCCGAACGTCGTCCCAGAGAGTTCCACGTCGTGCATTATTTGCCGACTCTGGGACTGGTTGGAAGAAGCGGAGAGGTGGTCAGCGCATGACATGGTGTCGTGGTATAAAAGAAAGCTGCAAAGGACTGGCTTGTGTTGGTCCTTCACGACTCCCTGGTTGGGGTCTGAGAGATGGTGCTACACAGTGGCTAGAGGCGTTATCAGATATGGCTCAGAATAGAAGCCAGTGGCGATCCTGCTGTAACCTTCTTTTACTTTCTTCATAAAAAGTGGCTGTGTCTCCCTTACCTGAAAGATTTCTTCTGATTGTACCTTTTCGTTCCCTCGTTACTACCACACTACCTTACACCAATCTCTTCGTTATTGTTCTCTTTTTCTTTTGCGCTCCTTAGTTTTTTTTCTACTTTTCTTCGAATTTTCATTGTTTTGTGTGGCGCATATATATTGGCGCTCTCTTGTACCAATATTCATGTGTTCAAATAAATAAATAAATAACGGGAATCCCTGGACCTAGTTTTTGTGCTTTTTGGCACTCGTTAACAAAGTATACCTGTAATCTTAATGGACGATTCAATCCCATGTCACCCAGTTTCACAGTTAGAGACGTTACCACTGATGATTTCCTGCCAACTACCTCCAACCATCACCTTACATCTCAACCTAGTATGCGCGATGTTGAGTTATACTCAAACAATGTTCATGGTTATGTATCCCGGCATGCACTAAGGTAAGAATGTTAACAGTTATGTTAGGAATTTTGGAAAATAACTCTAACCGTTTGTTTCTAGTGATTATTTTAATAAGAACGGGATTCGTCAATAAATATGTGTATAATATATATACTTCTCTCTTTTTTTTTACTTTAGGGACAATTAACAATGACAGCGCATTATGCTGAATGGTATTTAGAAAATGTTATTAAACATGCTTATCTAGATCATTTTGTTTATTCACCTTTATTGAAGAGTTTTGTTACTTTAGTATCACCTGATGTTGTAAAATTTCGAGCAGAAGATTATGCTGATTTAAATGAACTACTAGCTTTGACAGAACTTATCGGTAAGTGAGTGAGGAAATTGTATGATTTCTTTTGCTTTATTGTTTTGTTTTTCAAAGAAATCATTGGGGAGAAGGAGGTTTTTTTTCTCAATCTACATTGTTCTGCATACAAACAAACATAAATTTAACTTATATTACTATTTTGGTGGGTAAGATGTCAGAATTTGCATATCGCATTGTGAGGTTTATGTATTTTAACTGATGTGAACACAAAATTGAGCGAAGCGTTCACTTTTCAACGAATTTATCATCAAACTGTACAATAGTAAATATATAAGAAATTTTAAAGACTAGTGCTACACTAGACAACATCGGCCATCGAGGTGGACGGTGTTTTTGCGTACGTAGTACATGTCCCAACCACCTCAATTGAAGATTTCCCGTCTTCACTTAGTACCCTATTCTTAACCCAGACATTGGTTACTTCATGGTCCCAAAATACACGTGCATTGCTTCGTAGACACCTATGATCGAATGTTAGTAATCTGGAAATATTCTCTATTCCTAATGACCATATTCCATACCTATAAAGTAGAATAAAGTTAAATTAATGTGTAGCAAACTCGTCCTTTGATTGAAATATAAATATCTCGCCTATTCCACAAATGATGCATGTTTGCAAAAGCCTGTCGAGTCTTCTGAATCCATGTCGAGGTTTCATCAGACACCAGACCATCAGTACTAATGAGACTCTCAAGATAAGTGAAGCGATCGATACGTCCAACTACTTCACACACTATCCTTATCTCAGGCGTTGACGCGGACTGGTCTTGAAGAAAATGTTTAGCATTTATATGAAGAGGAATACATCTCAGTTATGCCTGCAATGTTGCTTAAGGTGGTCAGAAGACTGCATTTTGTCCGCGTCTTCACCAAACAGAACTATATCATCTGCGTCACCAAGTGAATATTCTGATGGAAGATCAACATTTGAAAAGTCAGACGATGAAAATGTTATCTGCAAAAAATTGTTTATGGCAAAGTTAGGTAAAAAAAAGTGGGGAAAGCAGACATTTCTGACTAACATCACTTGAAGTAACTAATTCCGACTACAACTCACCATAAGCTCTGAATTGATCATTAATGTTCCAGTAGATATACTGTACAATGCTGATGTACTTCTTTGATACCTCTTCCAAAGACAGAAACTACCACAGAACCTCACAATTAACAGAGTTGGACACCGCCTTATGGTCAAGGAATGCAATTATAGTAGTACGTCGAAAACTGTCTATGTTCCAGATTCTGCAGAAGGCTGAGTATTTGGTCTTTACTTCCATGTCCAGGTTTGAGACCAACCTGGTCTTTCCAGGTTTACCCTTTATGAGTTATAATTAGGTGTCGAATTATTATTGTGACTAATATTGTAGACACTATATTAGTTTAACTGATCTCTCCGTGATTGTCACAATCTTTCTTTCATATATTACTACCATTGAATAAACTACTTCTGTGAATCCGGTGTCCATCTTGTTGTGTTAATGAGGTATGGCAACTTGGACCGATGCATATATGTGCCTGGTCCTACGTTGTAGCTGACTGACTGATTGTTACAAGAGGACCTTTGTCCTTCCTTGTAGACTGGTACAATCACTGGTCGAGACTAGTCATAGAGAATTATGTTTATCTTCCAGATCCTATCTTGGATCTCAGTTAACTTAACTGCTAAAACTGAACTTCCATTTTGGAAAATCTCAAGGTTTAATTCATTAGGTCCTGCTACCTTTTGTCACCTTAGTTTCCTAATAGCTATTTCAATCACACTAAGAGCTGGAGGACCTTCATTAATTCGCCAGTCCGATTGTTTGGAGATAATGGATAACTGAAGTACGGATGAATACCAGTTGAACTGTTCCCTGAAGTGTTCTACCCATCTGTTAAATCTCCTGGATTGAGAGTGGATAATAGTTCCATCCTTTTCCGAAATAGTTTCACTAACAGCTGGAATTTTAATACTCGTTTCCTTAATAAGTTTGAAAAGTGGTCTACGTTTATCTATCACTGCTTCGTTTTCCATCTGTTTTGCTTTTGCTACTCACCACTGCTCACGATCATTACATAGGCTTTTTATCAGCCTACGTTTAAGTCGCCTCTGTCCCTCATTTTGTCCAGAGCCAAATGTGATGAATTTCTGAGAATCTATCAGCTCCGCAGACGCTGTTGAGATCCACTGATTTTTTCTAGCCTTTTGGTTTAAACTACTAGTAGATATCATTGCTGTTTCCACAGCTTTTTGGATGTCATGTGAAGCTAGCTCGGGATGAATATTACTTCCATGGTTAACTAAATCCTTCTCTAGTTGTTTCTGAAACATATTCTTAACTTATTCATCATTAAGTTGAACTGTAATTGGTCCTCTTGTTGTGGCTTTTCTATTTCCAGTAAGACGCAGACAAATACGTACTTGAACTAGAGTAGGATCCGAGTTTGAACATCTACTCCAGGATGAGCTACAGTCTTCTATCGAGCCCCTCCAACAGTGGCTGATGACAATGTGATCTATTTAAGTCCATCGTTGAGTCTGTTGTGGGGGTCGCTATGCCAGACGATGTTTTTCCTTATGCTTAAAGTTGGTGTTTGCCAAAAATAGACGGTTATATGAGCATATTTGCAACATATGGTCGCCATTACCTTTTAACTGATCCACAACACCGTAAGATCCTTCTACTTACTACGTCAGAGCATTTAGCTTTTTGAAGGAGGTTGGATAGTTTCCTATAAAATTCATCTTTAACTTCATTCGAGCTCAAATAAGCAGGAGAGTAGGCAGAGACAAAGAAGGGGCAACAGTGTGTGTTCTTATCTTTTCGGGTTCTTTCTGTCCCGTCTAATCAAACAGCTCACAAGCAGCTGCTTAATGGAACCCAGTTTATGAGAGCCTGTTCTGCTTCCGAACACCTACACCAACTAGTCTATGGGAAGTAGCACTGGGGTCTCCAAATACTCGAAGGGTAAATCGTATCGGTTTTTTATATTTACAAGATGAGGTCAGGTGAATGACCGTACTTGGATCCTGCATGCGTGTTTCAGAGATGCGATATACATCGGTGGCTCGAGATTCTACAATCCTAGCTATAGAATCTTGTTTTTTTATCTGGCACTGGGTTCGAACATTAAAAGCTTCAACATGTAGTTTAGAGCTTGGTTTCAGGAAACTGAGAATAACATTTCGTGAACTAAAATCATTAGCATTGGTGGCACATGATGGCAAAAACTGATGAGAAAGGTTAGTCGTGGGGATGGGAAAATTATTAAGAGATGAGGGAGGTATTTGATCGTCAACACGATGATCTCGGGCGCTGTCACTTACCGGTTGCCCACACCGTGAAAGGATTTTGCGTTTTAAGGGACCTGAAAAAGAAGTTAAATTGGTGGCGGTTTTAGCGACCTGGGAGCGTGACTGCAGAGCCGAAGGGACAGCTGCTTCAAACCAGTCGTTCATGGCCTTTTTATGGAAAAATTTTAATGCATTAGCTCCGCAATTCAAAAAGTCTTACTGCCGGAAACGGAAATCCGTGGGATGAGGTGAGGTGTGATATTTTAGGGTTAACCTTTTCCTACTTCTTCCTTCCGTTGTAAGGAGACAGTATCGCTGCAGATGCTGGTTGTTCGAGAGAGACACCCTACTGCTGTCATATCTCTCTACGGGCAGCAGTTCGATTTTTCTGTCGGGCTTTAAGTTGCTGCTTTTAGTCTTCCCGTTCTTCAACCGACTTGCCTGACATAGTAGAACCTAAAGGGACGTGGGTTCCAGCCAACATAACTCTATTGAGTCATCAGAATAGACAAGCCTGACCACCACGTCAAAGTAGCAGCTACATTCGGGTTTGTATTTATGTATTTGTTTATCGGTGACCGCTTTAAATCTCATATATACATGTTCTTCTGCAATGGTCAACCAATGTTTACAGCTAATTTTTATGTAATAAGTGAAATTAGTGGTTGGAGATGTTGATTCTTAAAAAATCTTTCTCGGTGACACATACATTTACTCGTTATCTTTCTCTAGATCTCGAGTCTCAGTATCCTTTCAGCCACTTCTTTTGATTCCTTCTTTTCAAACCCTATTCGCGATATTAAGTCTGTGTCGCTACCATTGCTACTACTACTACTACTACTACTGTGGTGTGCACTTCTTTGCTGACAGATATAAGTGGAATGTCTACCAGCACAAGATTTAATTGGAAGAATCGTCAAGTATGTAAAGGACTACTGAAGGAAGATGTGCAAATAATGTGTTTAATGTGTGGTTTTCATATTTTACGAAGGCACTGTGTGACTTTGCATAAAGCAATAAATTGGTCTCCCCTACCAAGTCTTCGTTCACTACACTACTATTATTTTGAATTCGCTACTTAACTTCTTAATTTCATCTCATTGTCATGAATCGATATGGTTATTTGGGCTAACTCATATTTGTACTAGGCTCTATGTTGATTATAACCGAATGAGCGATATTTATCAGCCTAGCTAATATTACTCTCAATATTCCTGGCATTGATAAATCAAGATTTATTGTTAACATTTTGGTTTGACTTTTTTCACCTACCATTATATTCTTGCGTTACTACTACAGGACCATTAGGGATAAAGTTTATTTGCGATCGTTTAATGCATTCTGTTGGTGATCGTGTTGATGAAATCAACAAACTAGTTCGTCAAAATCGTGGTACTCTTGAATGTTTACGAGAGTGTATAAATGATCCAGTGAGAACTCGTCAACTTAATGGGAATTTACAAAATTGTGATCAACTTTTAATCCTGTTAAAGGAGATTGGTGTAGCACTTGCTTTCCGTAAATTATGCTTTGAAGCTGTTCATTCTATACTACAGGTAAGCGTATGTGAGTGTTTGTCAATATCATTACTAATCTGCATTCATCAAAACATGATTTACATATTTTGTAGATTTAAGTACTACGTAACTGATGTTTTTTACAGCTTATTTCTACTGTGAAACACTCCTAACTTCCACCTCAAAAATATGAGATAGGGAAAATCCCTTAACCTCTTCGTTTTTTTTTATTTATTTAAACACATAAACATTGGTACAAGAAGGCACCAAATAGATATGTACCACATAAATCATTCGACTTGTGTGACGGCTGGGAATACTGACTGGGTGCCCAAACCGAAGCAGGTGGTTTTCTTAGGATGCCACTCCCTGAGCGTTTGACCTAAAGGTCCGATTTAAAAATATTAACAACTTCATGTATATCATAGCCACTATGCCAAGTAACAATATCTTACATATAGAGAACTGTTTCGTTTTATGACTGGTTAATTGATTTCCAGGTAATAATTAGAACTCCAAAATTAAACAGTTCACAAATTGTCATTCTCTAACTAATGAGTTAATTACACATTCCCGATCAAAGCGTAGGATAATTGATTGGCTAATGAGTTAAATCTTCATTTCTGACTCATCACTTGACATATAACTACTCTGTATTGGTGGCCTAATGGTTAAAATGTTCGTAGATTTGAATCCCATTCCATCTGTTCCGGTTTGGACACTTGTATAGTAGCACTATCTAGTATATGTGTAACATTGTCGACTTTACAAACCCTCACTCAGTAAATGAATTACATAATAAGCTGTTAATTATCGTTTATTTAATATGTATTATTTCCAGAAACGTACTCCATTTCTTCTGGACACTGTTCACAACCTTCGTGATTATATAACACAAAAATCAAGTAATAGTGCTCAATTAACTGGATCATCTATAGAAAATAATAATGGAAAATATGAAATGGAACGTATATATGCACATTTTAATGAACAATTAATGTTAAATAATCTATGCGCTTCTGTTGGTATATCCTCTCATTTAGATTATAATTTATGCTCAATATTAAATAATCGACGTATAGCTATATTGGCTACAGCAAATCAAGCTGGATTAAATTTATCTATAAATGGTACTGGTAATGCATCATATCAAGAATTAGAATATCATATTGCTTGTTTATTTGTTGTATTTGTTGCAAATGCATTTCCACGATTAGCACGTCAAGATTCTAGTTTATATCGTTTAGATTTAGAAGCGAATGAAAATAATTGTCATTGTATTGCATATGCAGTAAATACTTTAATGGTATGTTATAAATTATATTTTATGTAGTTTGTTTTTAATTGTATCTTAAAACTGTGATGACTTTAAAGTTGCGGTCGATGTTTTACCCTGTGCTAATTGTTGTGTCCTTGACTGGAAAAATTAGAGAGCAGCGTATTTATCGATCGATTACAATGATACGGAAAACATGTACGAACGGCCTAGAGTCTCGATTGGTCCCACTTCCCTGTCCAGCCCAGTTAGTTGAGTCCAGAACACAAGTCACAACCTCTGAGATATGAATCATTATTTAATTCAAACATACTTTGTTTATATACCAATCAAGCAGACCACATCGTACCATAAAATAGAAAACAACATTTTGTACAATATTCAACAAATGAACAGATATCAACCAATAGGATATGTCCATTTAAAGTCCAAGGACACCATTGGACTTAACATGATAATTATTGGTCTATTCCTCCGCATCCACAACAAAAACAATTATTCAGTTTTTGTTCTGCAGAACTATTAGGTATTGAAAGAGCCAACCCATAGGAAATCATAAAACTAAGTTTCCTGATAATTGACAATTACCAGCGTCGCATATTTGCCGTCTTCATGTAAATAATACTTCCTATAAGATTTGAATCCATATCAGCTATTGTTAAAGTTAGAGGTGTTTCCATTGAACTATTTGGGCATCAATCAAAGTTTAAGAGGACTGAGATATTTACAGTAATTTGTTACTAGCCGGTGTTCTTCAGAAAGATATACTTCAAATATAAGTCATATCAAGTTGATGATCAATGATTTCTAGTGTCAAAATTATAGCACTCTATAACGTTGTACACACTTGACTTGTTTCTTAACAATATCATAAGCAATGCGTAATCTTTAAGATCATGGGTCCGAAATTCGTTAATGTGATTTGACTGTAATTCTTTTACCTGACTGTCAATTATGTTCTGTCATTCATTCGACTTTCAACCGGCAGGTTAAAATATGAAATCCCTTTTCATCATCTTTAAACAGTTTAGCGCAAAATCGACTGCATAAGACTTTGATTTCGTAAATAAGTTACAATGTTCTCTCCTTCCTTATAGTTTACAGCTGTTTACTATCCTGTAGATATTATTTTAATGTCACCTCTTACTTTAGATAATTTACCGTGCAATCTGAATAAATATCTATTGTACCCATGTGAAGTTAGTCCCTGTATAGTGTTCTCTCTTCTATCTTAACTAGTCCTATAATTCAACTACATTTGTCTCCAATTCATTTCATAATGAAGACCTGTACGATTTACTTGCTAGTTTGTTTCTATGGAATCATTTTAGCACTGATTATTCAAAAACTTAGTAAATATTTAGAAACAATCACTTTTGTTAAATTTCTGGCTCATAATGAATGTTAGTCAGTCAGTAACAACGTAGAACTTCGTACGTACGTACATCAGTTCGAGTTGCCATACCACATTAGCACAGAGATGCAGTTGTCGACTCAAATCTCTTAGTGCTAGTGGTAGTAAAAGTATAAGCAATAATCGGAAAGTGTTACAAATTATGAGTATAGATAGAAATAAAAATAGTCATAAAAATCATATTACTCCATTAACTAGCCAATTTTATATCCTTATATGCAATTTTTCTTTTATATATTACCACCTTTGAATTAACTACTTATATGAATTCGGTGTCAGTCAGTCAGTTACATCGTAGGACCAGGCACATTTATGCATCGGTCCGAGTTGCCATACCTCATTAACACAACAAGATGGACACCGGATTAATAAAAGTAGCTAATTCAGAGGTGGTAATATATAAAAGAAAGATTGCAATAAGGATATAGTACAGGAAGAAAGAATTAGTTCGTAGAAAGAAAGAATTTGGTGTTCATCTTGCTGTGCTAATGAGGTATGGCAACTTGGACCGATGCATATATGTGCCTGGTCCTACGTTGTAACTGACTGACTGATTTCATAAATGTATGATTCTGTACACAAAATTATAGCATTTACCTATTCACTTGATTTAGATTTAATGCTTAGTTACAATAATATGCCAATCAACATGAATGAATTATCTCAGTTAAAAAGATTTTATTTAAGTCTGAGACTTTTCTCGTTCATTTATCAAGTTAATGAATAAATAGATCAAGCTAATGTAAAACATACACAAGCATCTTGTTAAGTGGGATTTCTTAGTAAACTACATATGTAAGCAATTAGAGGCGAAGATGAATATAGAAGTATACTTCTTTTAAAGATAATTACTTATATCCATTATTTGCTTACTTACTTACTCCTGTCACTCCTCGTGAAGAAGCATAGGCCACCCACCAGCATTCTCCATCCAACCCTGTCATCGGCAATCCTTTCCAGTGGTTATACATCCTTTTCATGTCTGCTTCCCATTCTCAACCCAGTGTGTTTTTCGGCCCTCCTCTTTTCCATTTCCCTTCAGAGTTCCAGGTTAGGGCTTGCCTTGTGATGCAGTTTGGTGTTTTCCGTGATGTATATCCCATCCACTTCCAACGTCTTTTCCTAATTTCCTCCTCAGCTGGTTTGTTCCCTCCCATAGTAGGCTGTTAGTGATGGTATCCGACCAATGGATGTTGAGTATCTTGCCTAGACAGCTATTTATGAATACTTGTACCTTCTTGATGGTGGTTGTAGTAGTTTTTCATATGAGATAGATTAATGAAGGTTATTCAACTTTCAAAGATAGTCTACATTTACAACCGATTTTAGCTAGATGACAATTGAAAATTAAAGAGCACTAAATAAATAATCGTTTCTTCCTAGGTTGTAACTCTTCAGCAGTTCACATCATGGTTAGAATCCCAGGACTTTCATATCTTGAAGGAAGTATATTGCCTTTAGACTAGCGAGTTTCAATATATTTTTCAGCCACTATCTAGTAGCATCAGTAATATCTATTTCATTTTCCATCATGTCTCACTAGAACTCTAATAATTCTTGATAACAGTGCGGTTTATTTGTATGTATTCCCTGAAGTTAAGTAAACATTATTTGGTAGTGAAATATAAATAAGTCCAATAATTATTTCTAAATTGTATTATCCCATCAGTGCTTGAAGTCACTGACTTCTAGTCTGAGCCATGTTAGGAGATGTAGACTACTTGGTTGAGGTCCGCGTGACAATCGTAACCAATGGTTAGAGGCTCTTGGTGACATACCTCAGAATCGATCATAATGGCATCGGTGTATACACCCTTTGTCTTCCCCTAAACTAAGAGATTAAAATCGCTTCATATCTTTCTTTCTACTAACTAATTCTTCCTTCCTATACTATATCCTTATATGCAATCTTTCTTTTATATATTACTACCATTGAAGTGACTACCTTAATGAATTTGGTGTTCATCTTGTTGTGTTAATGAGGTATGACAACTTGGACCGATGCATATATCTGCCTGGTCCTACGTTGTAGCTGACTGACTGACAAAACATTTATAGTTAGTGCTCATTAAAGCTGTATGTTTAACCAGGGATTTTTTTATACTGACCATGTTTTTTTTTAAATTGTTCTCCTCAAAAACACTTATTTGATACTGACTTCATTCAATGTGTTGTCTATTTATTTTTCAGGTTTCCATGTTTTCTCTACTTCGACCAGGTGATTTAGAGGCTCGCTCTAAAGAATTTCTTGCTCTTGCTTCATCAAATCTTTTAAGACTTGGACTAGAAACATCATCATCTCTTATATCTTCAGAAATTTATGGTAATAACAATATTCAAACATCCTCCTCTAATCATTCTCTATCGGCTAAACATAGAGATTCAATTTATATTGTATTTGATAATCTTATTAAACAATCACCTTGTTTATCGGCTAATTTACAAGAATCTTGTTTTCCATATTCATTAATACGTAGTGCTTATCATAGTATTGCAAAATTAACAACAAATAATAATGAAACTTTCAGTACTACACGTTCAAATATCATGTCATCATCATCATCATCAACAACATATGTGGATGGAAAATGTCGTGACTAAAATGGTAACACTCTTACAGTTCATGGATGAAAGTTTCCAAGAACATAGTAATTCTGTTGCTTGTTTGTTTACTTATCTCTTCTTTTTTTATAACAAATTTAATAATTCATGATCTCTATGTGTTCACGGTAACAGGAAAGGTAGTAGTGGCAGTAGTAGTAGTACAAGTAGTAGTACATCATATATGCTTTTCTTGTTTTATTTTATTTGCATTTTTGTATTTCTTTTGTTTTGTTTTTGTTCTTTCTTCTTCTTCTTCTTTCTTTTTTGATGGTTAAAATGAATCCATGATTTTGCTTTAAATTGTTTATATAAAATAAAATGACAAATGCGGTTATTTCAAAAATGATATTTGTTAAATGATAGTCAATATATGTATGTATAGCTCACTTATTATTACCATTATTATATTCTTCATTATTAATAATCTATAGTTAAAATAATGAAAAAATGTGAAGTTCAAACAGCTAAGAATACAATGTTTTCTTCCAAAATCTATATATATATATATGTGTGTTGCCTTAAAATATCTGAGGTTTGTATATATTCCTTCTATAAGTCAATAGAAAATATTTAGCTTGACTGTATAATGTTTATATTCTAATGGGTTTATGTCTGACGAAATCTCAGCACGGATTTGAAAAGCTCGTTTGACTTTTGCCAACTTACGTCACCTATAGTGAAGGCGAGATATCCGTCTATCAATTAAGGGACGCGAGTATACTGCGAAGGAGTTCCTTCTGTTTTACTTTATGGCTGCGAAACGTGGTCATTAAGAGTAGAAGATAGTCGTAGGTTACTAGTATTTGATCACAGATGCCTTAGAAATGTTGGTCGCATCTGCTGCGATCACCGGGTAGGTTATAGTGAGGTTAGACGCACGGCATTATGGAATGATGGTAAATCAGTTGATGAGCTCGTGAATCTTCATCGACTGAGATGGTTGGGCCACGTGTTACGTATGCCTGAATACCGATTACCACGATGTGCAATGCTGACTAGTGTTGGGGATGGTTGGAAGAAAGTTACGGGTGGCCAAACCAAAACGTGGCATCAGTGCTTGAAGTCACTAACTTCTGGTCTGTGTCATGTTAGTAGATGCAGACTAGTTGGTTGGGGATAGTTCCGTAGTAGCTTATGGGATGAATCTCAGTGTAGGTGACTCTGGGTAAATAATGGTTTGTTACTGACTTAGCAGGTTTACGCCATTTGTGTAGGCACGATCAGTAATTTGTTGTATGAAGAGACAATCAGAAGTGGTCTGTTGAAATGATCCGAAGTCACCTAAAGCTCGAGTGCATTTCATTGGGTCAGTTTCCTAGCGATAGAGTGGTATATATTTGAATGAGTATTTGTGCATTTCGGTAGCTCACGTAGTTAGTTAGGGGGTTAATGCGAGGCATGCCGTGTATCAGCATCAGATTTTTGACACTACCCGTCACAACAGATTCTGGCGACATTATTTCTCTCAAACGCATGCGATAAAAAATTCCAGAATGTCAATGTCAGTAGATCAGCTTAAAATTGTTTTACAACAAACGAAATTTCAAGCACCACAATTGAAAATGACTGAAATGATAGGACAAAAGTCAATTCAAGAAAATTCGGTACAGATTTCCGAATTAACAGGCTCAACTACTGAATCACAGATCAATTCAATGAGTGAGTTTCACTTTGATCCTCATGCTAATGTTACACTTGGATTATGGACCAAAATGTATGACAACATATGCCAAAAAGTATCAGTTGTGTTCATATATTGTCAAAGTCTCACAATTATTGCTTACTCGGACTTCACCTATAGCTTATCTAGAGTTACTGCTGGCTCCAAACTCGGGTAAAGCAGTAGAGTTGGTCGTGAGGTCGGCAACCCCATTCCATAGAAAACACCTTGCTTAAAAAATCCCAATGAGATTAAACAAATTAAGCCATTTAAATTCTGCCCTCTGAGTTGAAGGAGGAATTATGGCGCATCACGATGAAATCCTAGATTCTTCAGAAGTCACGAAACTGATGCCCCTTTTAACAATTAGAACAACAATTAATATAGGTACATGGAATGTTCGGACAATGTAGGTGACCGGAAGGACCAGTGAAATAACTGCGGAGATACAACTTGACGGTTCTCGGAATCGGCGAAAACCATTGGACCCAAGCTGGACAGAAGAAGTTGAATTCGAAAGAGATGATACTGTACACTGGTCAAGGGGAAGAAAATGCTCCACACGCTCGGGGAGTTGCTCCGGTGCTGTCCAAAGAAGCACTTAATACGTTTATATAGTAGGAATCTCATGGATCCAGGACCATCAAAGCATCCTCCAAAACAAAGAAGAAGAACAGCGATTAACAACAGTGGAAAAAAACAAGTTCCATAGACAGACTGGAAAGGAACACCTCATCAAGCGCTTCTTTGGACAGCATCGGAGCAACTCCCCGAGCGTGTGGAGCATTTTCTTCCCCTTGACCAGTGTACAGTATCATCTCTTTCGAATTCAACTTCTTCTGTCCAGCTTGGGTCCAATGGTTTTCGCCGATTCCGAGAACCGTCAAGTTGTATCTCCGCAGTTATTTCACTGGTCCTTCCGGTCACCTACATTGTCCGAACATTCCATGTACCTATATTAATTGTTGTTCTAATTGTTAAAAGGGGCATCAGTTTCGTGACTTCTGAAGAATCTCCTTCAACTCAGAGGGCAGAATTTAAATGGCTTAATTTGTTTAATCTCATTGGGATATTTTAAGCAAGGCTGTTTTCTATGGAATGGGGTTGCCGACCTCACGACCAACTCTACTACTTTACCCGAGTTTGGAACCAGCAGTAACTCTAGAAAAGCTACAGGCGGAGTTCATAAGTATATGGCAAGACAGAATACTACTAAAAGTGTTAGCTGAAACGATTATAAAAAAGCACATATATAGTTCATACTTATTCACGTAAATTATAGGCTTATTATTGGAATAAAAATGGCTCAGTGTCATGTTGCTTGAAAAACTAATATCAGAACAAATAAATGAATTCACGTACGCGCTTGTGCAGCCAACACGCTGTAAAGACATAATGCAGTAAATGCTGTGGAGAACAAAGAAAGTGTTTTCAAGCTGAGGATCGTAGAGAAAGGATTATATTAATGTATTTTAGTCCTTCAAAATATAAACGATCTGCGTTGGGTCTATTAATTACTAACATCATAGCAAACACATGCGGTCGTCTTATCGAGCACTTTATAATTTAGTTCCATAACCAACTTTAGAATCAATATTCAAAGTTAAGAGTTATCTCAGTGACACATACTTAGCGGATAACCCATTAGGATTTAAACATTACAGATAAAACAGTCATTTATTTTCTTATCTCATATAGGTACTGCGTCTCTTGTTTTTGTTGAATGATGAGATGTTTGTTTAATTATATATACAGTCTTCAGCTCAACTAATTCCTCCTTGTCGTGTAATTAAAGCGTGACACCTCTACTTCAAAGCATTTCGATTCCCTGTATAACGAGGGGTTCAATAATACGGAATAGTGGGCGCACCTTACACTCTTTCCAATTAGTCATTTCCAGGTTTAAGATAAATAATAATTTATTCTCGAATAACAGTATACTACGTGGGGCGTCTAGTTTACAGGCAAGATCAAATTGTTACAGGAGATACACTTTTCACTGTAGTAGGTTACTCAGTTAGATTGCTATTTCATAAGGTTCATTGGCCATAGAATTATGGAGGATAACACTACCCACGTATGAACGTAAATAAAATTAGTAACAGTCATGTTTTCAATATAACCGTTGGCGTGCTTAATGAACGTTGCGTTGTGACGTGAAACTGATGGTCGAGAATAAATCCACGTAAAGCTGTGGGCTTTCAGAAACCGCAACCATACATCCCAAAGGAACTTCTGAGGCATTAATGATGGCGCAGGACGAAATCACACATTTCATATGTGTTTTCGCGGGCTGAAAAGGAAAGTAAAAAAAGAAAGGATGAGCAGCATAGCAGACAATGTTCATGCCTATTGAAGTTGAGTCATTTATGGAGGAATATTTAAGGTATGACTGGTTAGTCTAATTTTCTTTTATTATGGTACTTTTTAAACAAGAGTATTTAAATGGGTTAAAGAAAATAACCGTAAATAAGGTGTAAGTGGATAAAGAACTGTATAATTGGAGGTGGTTCAGAAAGAAACTTAAAGGATAGGATTGTGTGTAATTTTAAAATATAGTATTGCAGTACTACAGTATTCTGATACAAAAATGGCTATCTCCCTTTTTTGTCGAAGCTTTTTCAGCCCATTTTTACTTTTATAGATTTTATAGGGTCATGAGCAGGCTCTGTTTTTAGTTAATTGTCTAATTTTGCGTGCAGTAATAATACTCAGTAGGAAGTGAAACCATTTCAACCTTCTAAACGTGGTTTAAAGAAATATCTTGCATAATAAATCAGCATTAATGCTATTGATTCGTGACATCCCTCTTGACCATAAGGAGCCGTAATTTAACAACATGTTCTGCCCTGCAGAAATGGGTGGATTTAAGTTATCGTCCCACCATCATGTTTGATTGTCGGCAAATCAACCCAGATCTCCCTATTTTTGCTAAATTTTGGGGTTTCCTCAAGGTTAAGTGGTAATTGCCTTTTGTCGCTCCAGATACTTAGGTTATTGAGGTCACTTTGAATCTGGGATACACTTTCACTTGTAGCTACAAGCTTAAAGCTGTATACTATACTAAGTATGGTGCCGAAATTTTATGGTGTTGAGTATATCGTTTACATACATAAGAAACGTGAATAGACCTGATGCACCCCCCGGTTGACTCTAATAGTTGTTAGTCTAGGTGATGAGAGCCATTGTACTTTGCCATTTGTCTACATTCTGTTAAGAATGAGGCTAACCATGAATATAGTGGGTTGTTGATTCCGAAGGACTTTAATTTGATAAGAAGCCTTTTGTGTGAGACCTCATCGAAAGCTTTCTGTATATTGAGGACAAAAGATTGATAGTCTTTGTTAGTTGCTCCTTAGTAAGGTCCAGTTTATCTTACACTTGTTGTTCGCCAGCAAGGTCCAGTTTGTATCTAGTGTCTTTTTGAATCAGCCGACTGAAGAAGATATCACATATGTGAGTACTAAGTTTTAGGAGTTCGCTACTAGATGCAAACTTGCACGTCACAAGTATTTCGCTCGGTCTCGACTTTTGAAATCCCCTGGATTGTATTTGTGTCTGTAGGTATCCCTCGTTCTATTGATATATGTAACCAAACTAGCAGCGGATAATTCTTTGCTTATTATGTGGGTGGTACACAGTGGAGCGCGAGGTTATTTGTTCAAACACCTAAAACGTTTCAACATCCAATATGGGATAATAGGTAACATAACCCCTATATGAAATAAGGATGTGAATAAATACTTGAGGTCTATTGTTTTAACAGATACCTAGATGTTTAAGGTCAACTCTCAACTAATCAACCTAAGTTGTCACATTGTCCCTTGAATCATCTGGATCTAGCTGGAAGCAAAAGAAGAGGAAAGACCAAGTTCAAAAGTATTTTTCAGTACTCTCAACACTAAGATTAAATCACCT